TTGTATTTAAGACTAGCAATAAACCCGAAGTGTCAAAACCCATATATGGGTTTATTTCTTACATATAAAAGTAGTCCTGGACATCGTGACATTCAGTCCACCATATGATATCTTCATTTTTATCTTTTATTTTTTTTATTTCCCTGAGCTATTCCCTTCCCCTTGATAGATTGACGGCACATACCCCACCAGAGTCAGTTACTGTGCCCATTGCCAAGTTGGCATTGCTTTGCAGAGACTAGATGTTTAAAACGGCTATTTTTAAATACTTTGCCATTAATTTTTATTACCAGAAGAGTTTACTTTAGGCTGGCAATTCCCTGGCATTGATATATAGCCTGAATACATACGACCTCAACTGCAGGATGGAATTGGGACAAGAGTCCCCGCAGAGCATTTCTCCAGGAGGCTGGCAAGTGACTTGCGTCATAGAACACCAAAGGTGACTGAGGAGATCGGGGCTGCTTAAAGGGATACCTTCAGAAATGAAGTTGTGATGAACATTAAAGAAGGAAAAACAGTCCAGAGAATTATTTGTAACGGGAATCGGCCTGTCTTGTTGGCAACTATTTTCAGGATGCTGAAAAGATACAAAAAGGAAGAGATTTTGACTCTGTATGACTTGTAAGGCAACATCTAAATTCTTTAGAGATTCAGGCCAGGACAACAGGATGAGCAGAATGCGCAGCGGCACAAGGTTGGAGGAGCACAATTGGCCAAAATGCTATAGCATTAAAATGACAACTCGGGAGTTATATCTTAAAAATACATTCAAGTACCTAAATAACAAAAAATGTATCTTATTTGTGTATCACTCGGCTGTAGATCCTCAAATCATCTCTGAATTGGCGCTGACACTGTCCTTCCTTCTGGAGGGCGCCTACTTTTGTTCCCCATGGTCCCTGTGTGTGTGTGTGTGTGTGTGTGTGTGTGTGTTGCAAAGTAGTCACTGCTCCAAGCTCGCTCCTGTTATGGACTACAACCTCAATACAAATTAGTAAACTAAACATGAGATTGTAGTCCATCACAGGAGTGAACATTGAGCGGTGACTACTTTACAACACACACAGGGACCATGGGGAACATAAGTAGCCACCCTCCAGAAGGAAGGACTGTGTCGGCACCAATTTGGAGATGATTTGAGGATCTACAGCCGAGGGATACATTTCTGTTAATAAGGTGCTTCAATGTATTTTTAAGGTTTAACTCCTAAGTTGAGTGTCGCTGAATAAAACCCTTCACTGGAAATGCCTAAACTCTATGATTTTGGAGTGGTGTCCACTTATTTTTGAACATAGAGTCCTCTTACATCCACAGAATATGTGAAACGCCAACAGCAAAGCTGAAGTCCAGTTCAGTACACACTGGAGTTTCGGTGCATGTAAGATGAGACGCGGTATTGGCTGAAACATTTTGCCTTCATCGTATAGAATCTTACGTGCTCTGCATTAACAGGAGTCTATTTTAATAACGTGCATATGATCTTGATCGGCACTCCCCATCAGGGTCTGGTATATGCTGAGTTGCAGAGCATCTTGCCCCAGGTAAGGAATGCCTGTGAAATTAAGTGACCTTGCAAGGCGTCAGATTCTCCTGAATCAGCTTTAATTTTACGCTGTGCGCAGCTTGAAATAAAACCGCTATTTGCTCTCTCACTCTCAGCAGAATGTTCACCCCCCCCAAATAAATGCATAAAAAGCTAATTTTCTCTCATAGAAGATAATTTGGCACTCGCTGTTGATGTGCACTTGTAATCTGGCGGCGCAAAATTGTTGATTTGCGGAAAAAGAGATTTCCCGCGTTCTGTAGCGTTAAGCAGATCTGTGATATCTCTGTTGGTGAATTTCCAAATAACAGCTCGTAGACATTGAATAAAAGATTGTTTTTAGACTAAATCACTCTCCGTAAAAGAAAACGCCCAACAAAGGATCCAATCCGTCCACATTTTATCCTAAACTTACAGCCCAAATAAAGCCTTTGTATTAGTTACTGCATTACAATTTAGGCTTCATATACAGTAAAAATATACCCTTTTCTTGGCTATATGCTGCAGCAAGAGTTGGAAAAGCCTGTGCTAGCAGCACCTTAGAGAGTCGGACCGCTGCTCAGCCACTACGCAGTGGCTGGACTTTTCACCTGCCCACTGCTCAAATCAACAGCGCACATTCTCACTGAGCTGCACTGTTGGAGCAGTGTGCAAGGGGAACAAGGGTTGTCGGACCACTGGAATCCCAGGCTGCTGCATTGTGTGTGTGTGTGTGTGATGCAGCAGTCTGACTCTCCTAGTGCTGCCAGCACAGATTATTATTTTAACCCTAGCTGCAGCACATGGCAAGTGAAAAACCCCCAAAAAGGAGCATTTTACTGGATCTGCAGGTTGACTGCATTACAGTGATTTAAATATGGAAGGTTCAATTAGAAAAAGATAGAGAAACATTGAGAAGTTATATTTGTGGTGCAGCCTAAAATAGCTGACAATGCAGGACTAAGCATCGAGTGTTAAAGGAGAACTATGAGGTGAGTGCTTTTCACTCACCTCATAGTTCTAGCCGACCTGTGACAATGAGACTGTCACAGGTCGGCTCAGTAGATCGGAAGGTGAGCGAACACATACCGGGTTCGCTCACCTCTCGATCCTGTCATGGCTCTATGCCGTGACAGGTGAGGGGCTGGATTCCCCCCTCCACGCTCCGATCTGCCAGCGCTGACTGCACGCGGTATACTGAGCCTAGGGTGACGGGAGGACGCTAGTTTGTGTCCTCCTGTTACCCTAAGGAGAACTATGGGGAAAAACCTTAACCCCATAGTTCTCCTTTTAAGATTATTGGCTACTCCAGGCAACTAGTATGAACAGACACTTCAGCGCTTATGCCAGGACTGGACACCTCCCAGGAACCAGGTCGCCAATGCTCCTTACACATGACAGCTGCCGCCAGTGATGCAGCTATAACCATAACAGCCCAGGAGGCTGCTATGGGGCCTGAGGGTGGAAGGGGGCCCCATTAGGTAATTGAAGCAAGTTAAACATAGAACATGTGAAGATAACACGGTACTGTATTCTTAAGGGTTGGAGTGGTTGCATTTGATGCTTCTGTAAAGTCTACAATGTAGGAAAGCTGTTGTCAGGCGAACAAGAGAAGTCTTTGGGATCTTGGTGTCATTGTGGCCGTCAGGGAGGGCCCCCCCCCCCCATCACATTTCACATTTTATCTATGGGGCCCTATGATCTGTAGTTACAACGCTGGCTGGCGCCCAACTTTTTAAGGTTTTCTTTAGTTGTCAATGGAGCTGGCTGCTTGCTTGGACATTCCATATTAATTTGTCCACCCCTGGCCTATGTTCTCCACCCAGTTCCTTTACTCAGACTTTTCTAAATCCAGTGCAGCCGAATTCAGCACTTCACACAGCATTTGGATTTCATAGTTGAAAAAAAAGGAATACTGTGCGTTTTTCTTCCATCCAGAGCGGGAGCTGCTGAAATGCACCGCAATCACTCGCCAAACTTCCCACTTCGTTCTGGGGAGGGAGGGGGCGTGGCGGTGCATTGAAGTCAATGGCCATGCCTGCAGTGCAATCGGACGCGTGGCAAAACATTGCCTGCGTTCCGGTCCACTGCAAACGCAAAATAATAGAGCATGCTGTCACATAAGGTCTGAACAATTAGACGTAATTGGTTTATTTGTGAATGCGCCAAGCTTACATGGCACTAATCTCCCGGCCTGTCAGACGCTGTGTGTAATCCACGATTGTGCTTGGATGCTGCAGATTACTCGATGGTTAATTCACCGAGCTATAAATACTTTGCTTTATGAAAGTGACCTTTGAGCAGCCGGCAGCACCCTTTCTTGTTTGGCACCCTGCAGGACCAGTTTAGATGGGGGAGCTAGGGGATGTTCTGCCTTAGCATATGAGTGGGCTAGGGGATGTTCTGCCTTAGCAGATGGGGGGAGCTAGGGGATGTTCTGCCTTAGCAGATGGGGGAGCTAGGGGATGTTCTGCCTTAGCAGAAAGCAGAAGAGGTGTTCTAATGCACAAGGTTAAAGCGGAAATCCAGGCAGATGTGAAAGACAGAAAATGAATGCAACTCTGTACTACATAATTGGATGTATTTTTATAATGGCAGCAGTATAAGTACCTGGATTTGACCTAGTATCAGCCTTTGCCATCCCTGTACAGCAGGGCTGGAGTGTGAAAGGAAGACGCAGTTTAAAGAGCCAGTTAGTTCATGTGCTGACAAGAAGCATGCTGATAGGAGAGGGCAGAGTGACAGATGGGCTTCCCACTGTGCGCCTGATCCCTTGAAAAGTAAAATTTGGCTATAGATACCCGAACTCCAGGGAAAATGTTCTTAACCCTTGCAGTGGGTGCTTGTTTTTATCTAGGTTAAAAAAAAAAAAAAGTTGTGCTCACCCGATTCCCTGAGCCGGCTTGGTTTTAGACCAGTCCCTGAAGCCTCTCTCCCCCTCCGCTGCAGTGGTCTAAGGTCCCGGAGTCGCCATGTTCTATACACTGTGTCTAAGGCATTAGGAAGCCAAGGTATATACCATTTGCTGAAGTGCAGTGGGAGCGAGGCAGAAGGCACCGGTCTAAGAGCAAGCTGGCTCCGAGAATTGGGCGAGTATAACTTTGTTATATTTTCACCAAGACAAAAACGAGCAGTTAACCCCTGCAATGCAGGAGCAGCTCCACTAAAAGGGTCAAGAGAATGTTTCCCTGGAGTTCTACTTTAAAGATAACATGAAAGTGTATATATGGCTCCC